GAAAGGACGTGTTAAATTGAATTTTATTATTGGTGGGGAATTTTTAGTATTTCTTTCTCGTCTTTCATCTTCCCCACTGTTAGAGATTACAGGTAGTGTATAGGCAAGAAATAGCAAGCTTGCTTTGAAAGCACAAGATCCCACCCTCCCTGCAAATCACTCTCGAAAGCCACGCCTCCTCCAAAACACATGAACACCCACAGGCATACCAGAGGCTAACCAGCGACACGATGAGAGACGGCGTCATCTCTGTCAGATTCCCTCATGTCTCATTCACCGGTGAGAAAACATTACAGTATTACAATAATAACACCTTCCATTCTCACTCGGTCTGCAATAGTGTGATGGAACGCACTGATGACGTATCATGTCTGTGCGAACAGGGTGCGCCGTGGTGCAAATGCATACATTGACAGGCAGGTAGGACAGCCTATCGTAGCCCTCGGACCAAGGGATATGATTGGACAAACTTTTTATGGTCCTAAGCCTTCCACAGACGATATATAAATACATTTAGACCACTTAACTTAGTGATTGCTATCAGGATGTTAAGAGACTTACAACCAGTGTAACAAAAAATGTTTTTGAACCAAATCACCTACCCTGCCTTTACTGTAGGGGACTTTAGCCCTAAGTTCCTCTCATGTGACCCTGGACCACAAAACCAGTCATAAGTAGCACAGGTATATTTGAAGCAATAGCCAACAATACATTTTATGGGTCAAAATTATTGAGTTTTTTATTGTGCCAAAAATCAGGATATAAAGTAAAGATCATGTTCCAGGAAGACATTTTGTAAATTTCCTACTGTAAATATAACAAAACTTAATTTTTGATTAGTAATATGTATTGCTAAGAACTTCATTTTGACACTTTAAAGGCGATTTTCTCAATATTTTGATGTTTTTGTACCCTCAGATTCCAGATTTTCAAATAGCTGTATCTCGGCCAAATATTGATACATATATCATAATTTAAAATAATTGACCCTTATGACTGGTTTTGTGGTCCAGGTTCACATATATTCCCTGACTTCCAATCATAGTTTAGCGTAAATCATCCAGAGTTGGCCATAGGGACACAAGATGCTCAGAACAGATTGAAAGCCTGCCAATCATAGTAAACCTTACACTTTTGGTTCAAAAAAATCATTAGATGTTCTATATTTGTCTACAACACACCTGGGGAAAGAGACGGCACAAGAATCCAGATATAGACTTGCCACATAAGCTGGTGTATCAACATATGCTGTTCATTATAAATGCCTGAAAATCTGTTTCACCATTCAGTCAGTAAACCATTTTAGAGTTTAAACAAAAAAAGTACCCTAATTATATACGAAATATGCAATATATGTGATTGTATAAGAATAGAAATGTAAAGGAAACCATCACTTTCTCTTAGAAATAAATCAGTATTATGTTTCTCTAATGTTTCACATCGTTCATAGTATATTTTCTCTGTTTTTAAATTGGCTGTTGCTGTCCCTATCTTTGAACTACTTATTTGCTTCAGTAAGCACATGCTAGCTTATAAAACCCCCCAGCCACCGGTTTCTTCGGGAAGCAATGAAGTGATGTTATAACATAAGCACAGTTCATGATGGGAAGATCAGATAACAAGGAGAGAAGCAGACCATAACAACTGAACCACACTGAATTTGAAAAGAGTTTGCGAGCCACTTGAGAATCTCATTAAGCTGGGTTGCTGTCTACACTTTCAATTTATGGAAATTAAGTTGGTGATAAGTGTCAGGTGGACTCTTATGGGTTAGTGAGTACAGAGAATGAATAGATATTTATGCCTATATTAAAATCTAAATTTCTAATGACTAACTGGATAAATGCAGTGTGTGTGTGTGTGTGTACAGGTATATATGGTTTATGAGGACACAAATGTGTATAATGACATGGGTACTACAACGTAAACATGGTAAAACAAAAGGCTTAAAAAACATACAAAACGGTGTTTTATGAAATTCAAAAATTGCCAGCAGTTTCCTGTGAGGGGTAGGTTTAGGTGTAGGGTTGGTGTAGGGCAATAGAAAATACAGTTTGTACAGTATAAAAACCATTACACCTATGGAGAGTCCCCGTAAACCACAAATACAAGTATGTGTGTGTGTGTGCGTGTGTGTGTGTGTGTATGTATTTATGTATATATGATCTTCATAAAACAGAAAGAAAAAAAAAACTTAAGTGTCCATAGTTCAGGAAACATAATCTAACAGTAGTTCTTAATATGTCACTTTATCATTAATATATATTTTTGAAACCATTACCTCTATTACACAGGAAGAGATCTGTTATTTATCACTTCTTTACAGAAGTCCATTATATTAATATACTTACTGTAACACACACACACATGTCTGGTTTGCTATCCTTGTGGGGACTCTCCATAGGCGTAATGGTTTTTCTACTGTACAGACCGTATATTCTATTGCCCTACACCAACCCTACCCCTAAACCTACCCCTCACAGGAAACTTTCTGCATTTTTAGATTTTCAAATAACTTAATTCTGTATGATTTATTAGCTTGTTTACCCGTGGGGACCTCAATTTAGGTCCCCACCGTGACACGAGTCCCCATGAGTCTGTGTGTATTCAGGTTTAAGTCCCCACCAGAATAGAAAAACAGGTACACACATTACACACACACACACACACACACACACACACACTATTTAATAATGTAGCTTAGACACACACTTAATAATAAACCAAGGTCACTCACCACTATATTAGCATCCATAACAGTAACTCAGGGTCACACATGAATACAGCCAGGGTTTACTTGCTATGTGCTCCTTTAATGTTTCAAAACAGCATAGCACAAGGTCACTGCTCATAATGGATTTCCGAAAGTGCTCTTAGTGTAACAGTAACTCCATATTCTTGTAATAAAACACAAAGACAGCCATCAGAAAGATCTCAGTAAGGTGAAATGAGTCCATTACTAACAAAACACACACACACACACACAGCAAGAGATATTAGAGGAGCGACATGTGTACCTGTGCATTTCCATAATGCATTCTAACCCACTAGAGTCTGCTTTGTTTAGAGGGCACATCCAGTGAGTGAAGCTGATGGTAAGATTCATTTCTGCACCTCAATCCTGCTGACATTCACATGGCACACATACACGGAAATAAAAGTGCGCGCACCCCCCCTCCCCCTCCCTTTTTAATACTTTTCTAAAGTATTTATTTGCATAGAATGAAATTCCTGCATTTATAGATTTAACTTATAATGTATTTTTGAACAGCAGATTATGTTCTGATATTTTTAGAAGGGGAGTTAACTAGTTTTAACTAATTTACAGCTGCAGGTTTTGAGATGAAGAGCCCCAAATTCAAAATTCTTGAATTCAGTTTAACAAAATTCAAATAAAAAAATAAAAGTATACTATGGTAAATACTGTAAAAAATAAAAAAAATCAATTTATTATGAATATCAGTTCAGCTATTCAGTATGAATTCACATTGTGTTTTAAGATTTCCTCATCATCATATTTATGCAAGGCACCACAAAATTCAATTCTGCAGTGGTTGCTAAAATCTAAAAATAACACTGGACTGAGGAGAAATTATGCCACATTTTGATGGTTCTTCAGTGAGTGTATTCACTTTACCTACCTGCGATTCTTAAGCCATTCTTCTCAAACTTCTTAAACTGTCAGTGATGTAAGGCTGAAGAAACAAGAGACACTAGTCTCAATGGAACTTAAAATGGCTTTATATTAACTCAAATCAGTTGAATATGTTAACATGAGAGATGTGATAAAAATCATTTTCTCAGCCTGGACACTCACTTCCCTCCAGTCCTTTTTCAACTCGTTCCTCTAAGTTGAAGCAGCTTCTAATACTACAGCACATGAGTCAAGCCTTCGCATATATCATGTAACATCCTTTACTGTAGCCTCATTACCTCCAATTAACAGTCAAAGGCTCCGGCTTGAATTCACTATTACGCATTGAATGCAATTAGATGCACAGTCAAAGTTATCATTAGCAAAACAAATCACCATATTTTTCATTAAAACATTAGCAGTGAGAGTTTTTCAATCAAGCAACTTTCTTTACTAGCTACAAACGGAGTTGAATATACAGCATTTTTGATAGATTGACAGTTCTTATACAATGATTTAAAGGAATTAGGACAAACGGTAATCATCATACAATTCAAAACACTTGGATTGAATATTCTGTTTCATTTGATTGAATATAGGTTGGGAGATTTGATAGGCAGGTTAGTAGGCAGCAAGTATGTGATGATAAGGCACAAATGAAGGATATGATACTGATTGTCGTCAACTGTGGTTATACCTAAATGCAACGGCATGCAGTGAATTCCCTTGTTTTGGTTAAAATTGACTCATCCAATTGAGAAGACAAACAGTGCAGACAGAAAAAACCCCAATGATATTGATATAGTGCCATCTGCTGGTGCAACAAACAAATACTTGGCTGGATCTCATACAGGCAATAATTGTATTGATCTTTAACAGGTGCAATACATGGTAAAACTGCATTGCTCTTTGGGTGTATCTTTCAAAATAAGTTACTATTTTTGCAATAAATAATAACATTATATTATGAGACACAGAATGAGGTCAAATACATAAGTGCAAATTTTAAGTGCATTTCACTTTTGCAGGCATCGAGATTCAAGTTTTCTGGGAAACAGTAGGGAAAAAAAGCATCCCTGATAAGGAGAATCAAATCACAGTTTTACATAATTTCCCAACATGCACCTTTTTTTTTCCTTCCCAATATTGGTATTATATTTTCTACACTCTAAAAAATGCTGGGTTAAATACAACCCAGTGCTGGGTTAAATAGGGACAAACCCAGCAATTGGACTGTTTTGACCCAGCGGCAACCTTCTGGGTAGTAACCCAACCGCTGGGTCAAAACAACCCAATTGCTGGGTTTGTCCCTATTTTACCCAGCACTGGGTTGTATTTAACCCAGCATTTTTTAGAGTGTAGCTGCACTTTAACAATCAAATGGGAAGGAGGAGGGGAGAAAAGACAGATGATAATTAAGAATACATAATAAAAGTTAAATAAATAAATTAAAAAAACATTTGCAACATGCAGCATTTTTAAATCAGACGCAGCTCAAAGTGCGTCACGTCAGAAAAGCTCTTTTTTTTCATGAGGTATTCATGCTAGTTTCATATGGCTTTTTGTGCCATTTTCAAGAAACGTTTCCATTTAACGATTTAACAACAACAATATTGTAGTGTAACCATCAAGTAAAAATTTATAACATTTCCCTTTAATACATCTAAGTGTACACAAGCTTATAATTTTCTTGGATGAACTATATATGGCATTTTCAAGGTATTTTTAAATAAATTAATAGACAGAAAAAACGGATAAAATCTGAACACAGTAGCAACACAAAATCAGCCTGATCTCTCTCAGATCTTCTCAGTCTCTAGGAATTCGGATGGATCCGTCAGACTTTGACATTGCTGCCCGTTTTTAGGAAGCCCATTGGCTGTGCCTTTCTTATTCCGCTTCTCAAACTCCTCAGTGATCTCTGCTAGAGTCCTTCCTTTGGTTTCAGGCAAAGCGAAACTGACGAAAAGACATGCCGTCACACAAACTCCACAGAAGGGGATGAAGCAGAACTGTCCCAGGCCCTTAACTATGAACGGAAACGCCATTCCTATGATGAAGAGGTTAAGCCACATCATGGAACCGGCAACCATGTAAGCTGCGGGACGCGCCATTTGGTCAAAGAGCTCGGCGGGAAGGATCCCGGTGACCCCTGCGGGGCCCATGCCAAAGCTCAAGATGTAGGCGAACATGCAGACCATACTCAGATAGGGCATGCCGGCCACTTTGCCCTCCAGCGAAAGAGCGACAGTGAAGACCACCGCCCAGCAAGCCATGAGCAGATACCCGCCTGCGAGGAGCAGCCTGCGGCCAACGCGCTCGATCAGGAGATTACACACCAGAGCAGACGTGAACTCGCAGGCACCCGTGCCGATCGTGACATACTGAATCCTGTCCGTTGGAATACCGGCTTCTTGAAAGATATAGGAGGCGTAGAAGTAAATGGAATCATTTCCACACAACATCATGGCACTGCTGGCAACCATCACGGTGCAGAGCTGCCTGCGAAGACTTCGGTCACTTAACAGCTCCCACAGCGTTTTGGCACGGGCTTCGCCTGCTTCTGCCCGCTCCTGGAGGATCTCTTCCAGCTCATCAGTAAAAACGCTGCACGCTCGGAGGCGTTTCAGGGCTTGACCGCATGCCTCTCGGTCTCCTCGGTCGATGAGCAGGTAACGTGGGCTCTCTGGAAACCAGGGCAAAGTGACCAGCTGCACTACGCCGGGGAGAGCGTTGCTCGCCAGCAGATAAGGCCAGAGAGATTCACTCCCCAAAACTTCAGTCAGACCCATTACCTGGCCCATCAAGATCCCTAGAGCAGTGAAAACAGCAGACGAAAAGGCAACAGCACCTCTCAGGTGCTTGGGTGCACTCTCTCCGAAGTACATGGGCTGGACGTTCATACTAACCCCAGCATTGACCCCCACCAGCAGACGAGCAAGGATGATCATCTCAAAAGAGCCAGCGGAGCGACTGCACAGAGCCAGCACTGCGCTCACAAAAAGGAAGCAGTTGTTTAGCAGCAGTGCACCTTTACGTCCGCACTTAATAGCCATTGGGCCAGCAAGCAGGGATCCCAGAAGTCCCCCGAGTGAGTAAATGGAGACAATAAAGGTCCACATCAGTGTCACCTGACTGGCCTCAAGAGAGGTGCCCCATCTCTTCATACAGGTCTCATTAATGAACTTCTGCACATAAGCTGTGGGTGCATTGATGATTGAAATATTGTAGCCATACTGAAAAGTGCCACCAATGGCTGCAGAGCACACAGTTAATGCAAGAGTGCGAGTGCAACCTCCTCGCTTCATAGTGTCATTCATTTTTTTTTATTTTTTTTTTTACTTTTTATATAGTCAGATCTAGCTGGAATACACACGTGCAGATCCTGGTGATCTCCTGTCATTGAACAGAGTGATGCAGACTGAACTTCCTGAAAAATGACGTGAGTCTGTTGGTATTTCATAATAAGAGTCCCTTTTCAGGCTACATGAGATATATCCAGCTGCAGACCAGCCGTTTCAGAACCGCAGCCACAGAACCGGAAGTGAGGGGCGGAGTTATTGACAACGAGAGAGCACGGTGAGTAGTCTGTAATGTTTTTTCTATCTTATGTTTAATAATTATCGTATATATTACGTTAAGCATTTATCTGCTAAGTACTTAATGTGTGCTTGGCTTTATTAT